TAAAACTATTATGTATATATTTGTAATTATTGGCATTTTTAGTTTCAATTTATTTGACATCTTTTTAACTTCCCAAAACCCCAAACTCCATTAAATAGTTTTATATATATTGAACGCAGATCCTTATATTAGTTATTTAATATGGAAAGTTTTCAAATAGATTCTTAACATTTTATATGCATAATATATATACATGTACATTAAATTCATCATACCTCGAGACACAGAGGTATCAGTGCCAAAAATCACTTCTAATATCAAGGAAGTAAAGACACTATGTTATAATGACCACCCTTTCCATCAGAGTTTCAAAGGTAAGACTGAAGATTCAAAAATTAATAATAATATCCTCAGTCTGCACTTGGTAACTAGATAGTTACCATGTGAATTCAGCCCTTGCTCCTTGTCTCAGTATTCTCACTTGGAAGTCAGTAGCTAGCTTTCCCTGAGTTAAAGTAGTTATATAAAGTTGCATTGGTTAATCGAACTACAAAACACCCCAGGCTGGAGTTTCAGTTGCGTGTCAAAAGATTCCAGAAAGGCAAGCTCCATGTCCTCAAGCTGATTACTTTCAAGTGAACTGTAGAATCACCAAAAGGCTTGATCCCGGAGTAGAAGAGAGGTTATGAAGCCAAAGTCAAGCATAATTTTTCCACAGTTTAGTGCAGAAATAGCACGCCACTTATTCATTATTACAGTTGAACAGCTAGAGTGGCAGAACAGCCCTTTTTTCTTGTAGGCCCTTGACTGTTGTTTCCAACATCTGCTGTAGTGGTTACTACATACATGATAGTAATAATAAACGGCATTATTTCATCCTGCAGCCTCAGAAGCTTGCTTATGTTGAAATTAGAAGTAAAAGAGCTCAAGGAATATATTTTTGATACATTAAACATAATTGACATCAACGTTATTTGAGGATTGCATGTATAATATCTATGTTGCAGAAAAACATATGAATTCAGGCATTCTCTAGATTCTAAGATATAGATATTGCCCTTGGGTTTTTGGTAAAGACTTAAAAGGATTTTGCTAGTTATTTGACATTGGCTATAATCCCTAAGGATTGTGTAAAATGCTAGAAGTTACTTAAGCAATGGAAAGGCATGAAACATAGGTTTTCAAGAAAATTACAAGTTTCGAGTTTTGCCAAATACCTAGGAATCATATACATGATTTGAAAGTTTGGAGCAAAGAATCAAAACGGCCAGTGCTGACTGCAGTAGCATTATAAATAATACCTACTGATTGTATAAGGTAACCAAAATGGCTTATACAATATGAAAAAGTCATTTAACAGGATTGATTTCTAATTTAATAACTCTTGCATGTACACACTTGCTCAACAGCTAGTGCTTATTGTTCCTGGCGTACAGTGAACTATTCCTATGTAAGTAATGTCTGATTTCTATAATTTGCTTGTGATAGTTACACAACCATATGAATGCAAATACTTTGACTTTCTTTTCCGTACTATGCGACTTCTCATGCTGATTAGATCCTCACTAGTAAGGAACTTAAGATGGGGATACTATTTGACTTCTTTTATGGAAGCTCAGTAAAGTATATTTTCCACTGAAAAATGTAGTTGGTTAAAATACATTTCTAAAGTGGCCTCCAGGACAAGTCGGCTCTAATACCCATTATCAACCTTTAAACCTAAAGAGGCCACCCTTGGGACTGAGGAAGGCTGGAACTAGTGGCATTCCAAGAATGTCAACATCAGTCCTTCCTTTCCCAGAAGGGATCACTAGTTAGCAATATCAGCCAGATGCTGCTTCCCCACACCTTGCCAGACCCTGGGGCAACACATTTGCCCAGGGTCTGGACTTGGCTTCCTATGTGGCAGCATGACCAGCCGCTACTCGGGCTTGGGCAAGTCCGTAAACACATCCACTGATAATTTCTATATTTATAGAAAGCCAGAACATGTGTAGATAATCACACAATTGGATATTTATGAAGTGCCAGATTTTATGAATACGGGAATTTGTTAATTAGCACAAGGACTAATCATTAAAATTCAAAAATAGATAAATAAACAGGAATGCCATTTATTTGTTCACATTTCAGGGGAAAGTATGCAGCTGCTATCCTTTGGATAAATGTAGGCTTCTGGAGAAAAGCATGAAGAAGAAAAGTATCCACAAGTTTTGAAATCTTAATGAGTAAAAATCCAGGAAATTATTATATAGTCTTTATATTAAAAATAATAATCATAGTGATTCTCCCCTTAAGTTAAAAAAAAGAGTTTAAACTGGCACGTGCTTAGCATTTGAATTATACTGTCTTGCATTCCAATGTTTTGGTCCTTTTCGAGGAGCCAAAGCTGATTTTCATCGGATAGGAGTAAAAAGCACACACACGTCACTCAGTACCAAATTGTTTTAGCTACAGGGCACGGCAAAGCATGAAATAAGTGCTTTACAGCACTTCCTTATGCGAGTGTGTTAGATAACAGTCTGCTCCAACATTAAAATGAAACACACTGTGACCTGACCAAGACTTCGGGGTGCTCAACAGGCAGATTTCATGTGCTGATAGGAGGAGTCCACCATAACCAGCAAGGCTGCTTAATGAATTTTTCTGGCACTCTATAGCTCTCCTGTGACGCAGGGCTTTCAGCTTTCCAAAGCCCTATACAGCAGGGTACACTGGTTTTAAGTTTGCTTATGTACATCTTACAATGTCCTGCTGTATTTAGATTGTGACAGTCCCTCCCAGAAAAGGCCAAGATGATTTTTCATACCAAAAATATTTTAGATCTAGTGAAGGTTAAGAATTAGAATGCAAAAGAAAACATATACACATTCTAAAAATCAAGTCAACCAGAAAAATGACTGAATTTTTACTTTCTTTTATTCTTTCCAAAAGCTTAAAAGAAATTTTCATCTTCTCTTAAAAGCCTCTCCGTTTTTTGCTTGCTTCTAGTTAACATAAATAGGCTTAACATGAAATTTTTTTAATATCTGCAAAGAATCCGTGATTTCTTTACCCATACATGTATGAGAATATGTGCATAAATGCACAGATGTGCACACAGATATCTTCACCCATACAAGTATACATAAAAAGAGAATTGTTGATTGAGAGATATATGAAAGGTTTCTTTGGGAAAAAAGGGTAGAATTTTAGATAGTCCTCACAATGCTAAAGTAGACAATGACAGGTGCATGAGACACGTACACTTTTGATGTATTAGTTTTAAAAGAAATTTTTGGGTCAAGAGTCTGAAATGGAGGAAAGCACATTTGAAACACCATATCCTGTGTACCGTATTAACATATCCTTTCAATAGAGTCCCCCAAAAGTTCCCCTTTAGACCTTTGGAGGGAAAAAAGTCCCTTATAGGACCTGACTGAGTATACTGTTTGTACTACTCTTGGTCAAGGCTGGCCTTGCCAGCTTAAAAGACAGTTTAGGCGAGATAAGCAAATTAAAAGTCTCCAAATAAATTTTTAAAAAGAAAGGAAAAAAAAGACTTTCAGCAGCAGAAGTTCACCACCCTCTTGGAATAATGGATTTTTAATAAACATTTTACTAGGTTTGAACCTTGAGAATGTGTTTGGGAATCTGCTCTAGCGTCCCAGGTGGGTTAAGAATATTGCTTTATGGACTTCTTTGTGTTGTCAGAGAGGCCTAATGGAATTAAAAAAAAAAAAAAGTCTGCCACTTCTATTAAATAAATAATTTATTACCAAAAAGGTGATTGTTATTATCAAAGATCTCTATAGATCAGCATCCATTTTCTATCATTGCTCATATATGTGCTGCAAACATTTGTGTATCTTACTATCTGACTTAATTTTTATCAAATGAATAGCAGTTTTACTTTCGGACACGTCCAAGGAAAACTCCATTAAGGAGTCCATTTCAAATGGACCTATTTAACTACTCCTTTGAATTTCGAAGAACGCTGTTCTGGGAAAGCTCTTCAACAATGTCAGCTAGTTGTGAAATGAAACTTTTCCCACCATAAAAAAGAAAAAAAAAATAAAGGAAAAAGAAAGCACCTCAAAACTATGTTTGAAATAACAAATACATTATTTATAGTCCCCGAAATGTTAAATGAATACTTACAGTTGTTGCACAAGATGGCCTGATACACTTCATAGCTTCCACTTTGTAAAAAGATGGCCAGCCCCCCACCCCACCCTCCCCAAGCATAAATAAACAGTAACATACTAAAAGGAAACTGTCCTAGGATAAAAACTGCTTGTTAAGAAAGTTTGCATTCTTACTAACCACAGTGATATGCCTATAAATGTAAAAGTCCATCTGCAAAATAAAAGTTACAAAACAGAGTACCTTATTCCTTTCAAAACACACCCCCCAGATGTAATATAGAAGAGTTTGTGATGATAAAAATAATTACTGGATTCTCACCCACCCTCAGGGACTACCACTCACCTATGGCCAATGCCATCAAATAAATATGCTGGCAAAAAGTATTCAACCTGCTTCAAGGATTTAAATTGTAAATATGGACTTTAAACTTCAATGTAAAACAAAGAACAAGAGTCTCACTTTAGTAATGCCCACACTGGCACTGCAGCTAAAACTCATTGGCACATAACTAACAAAACCCAGTTAGCAATAAATAAGGACAACATGATATATAGACAGACAGATGGAATTGCATAAACAGACCAGAAAAGCACAGAGACTAACAAACATACGGAGGGGTCTGTTATAGAAGAGTGAGAGATACTGATTTATTTGGTACTTTAGTGAGAAAAATAGGTTTGTTTATAATTATTTTTAAAGTAATTAAACTGAATCACAAGGGCACACCCTTAAATAAGTGGAAGGAAAATTAGTAGAGGGTAGGCCTCCTATAGATGTTCCAAATTTTAAGCTGGCAATAGCACTGTCAAACTTAAATCTGGAAATGAAAATTCAAGGGAGAAAGAATAAAAGCATTGGGGGCTAAAGGAGATGATAGGTAGAGGGGGGACTGAGGAAGCAGGATTTTTTTTTATGAAAGTTGTCTGCCCTACCTTCTTCCCCAGCGCTGAGTTTCTCTTCTCATAATCGGTGTCTCCCTGGAAGTACAGTGTGAGTGGTAATGACTGCCTGCCTCCCTAATGAGTCCATTTTCCTGCTCTTGATGTTGTGTATATACACACACTGCAACCTACCTTACAAACCACAGAGACGGGAAGAGAGAGAGAGAGCAAGAGAGAGGGAGGGAGAGGGGGGGCAGAGAGGGAGAGAGAGACAGAGACAGAGCAAGCGAGTGGGAGAGAGAGAGAAGAGGAGAGAGAGAGAGAAAGAAAAACAGAAAGAAACAGAGAGAGAAAGGCACAGACAAAGCCCTCCTACCAGACAGCAGACAGCCCTCCTTCCCCTATCCAGCAAAATGCAACTCGTCTAATGCAGCAACAGGTTCAGTATTGCCAGACTAACAGTGAAAAAGGTATATTCTCTATATCATTACTGCTTGCAAATAAACAGTTTAAGAGCAGCTGGCTCCACCTTCTTTATTTATGCTCCATTATGAGGAATGTATTGTTTCAGTTCTGGCACACAGTACATGTAATTATCATAAATACATTTTTTGCATATTAGTAGGAAATAGTGAAATGCATAGCTTATTTGTGAAATCTTTTAAATTTATTTTTTTAATGTCAGAAGAGTGTCAACAAATCTGCTCTGACAAAAGCCTAGTAATGATTTTAAAGTCAGAGCAGTCTTAAAGGAGGCTCTGAAGGAAACAGACTCCATACAATAGGAAAACTGATCTCAGACAAAACTGATAACTGCAAAGAAGAAATCATTGCTCAGTAAATAAAGCAAGACCATACGCAAAATTGCAGACAAAAACAGAATTAAGTTCAATTAAGTAACTAACAGACTAGTACTCTAGAAGAAGGCAGATTGGTTTCTTATGTGAAGCATCTCTCTGTACAAACATCACAATGCAATGTACTCTGTGTGAACAGGTGCAATGCATATAGTACATAGTGTTACAACAACAGAAATAAATCCCATAAGGAGCTTCCATCACAAGCAGGACAAGATTTCATAGACTATGGGGCTGAAACCATAACAGAAACCCCTTGTTCTTTTATGAGGAGGGAAAAATAAAAATAAAGCAAGCTGCTAAATAAACCTTCCTTAAAAGAAAAAAAAAAAAACAAAACGCTGTTTTTCTTTGTCTGATACATCTAACCAATTTTTTTTCACACGCTAGAACCAAAATAATGCTGGCATGACACGCCACATGCCACTGCGTGCTCCCCGCCCCTTTCCCCACTCACAGGTGCTTTTTCTCCCATAAGTGATATATTTGCAGCTATGGAACTACAAATATCTGAAAACAGACCTAGTTTCAAGTCCTTCTCCTTGTCCTTCAATTTTTTAAAACTAGACTCTGCTTGTCTACTTAGACAGCCACCCTTCCTCAAAATGTTTCCATACAGTTTGACTGTGTGTCATTTAGATAGGACTTAGGAACAGTACAAGAGAGGTTAAATAGTCTACAGAAAATTTACATAAAAATGAAAAATACGAGTGCATCTGACCTACTCAAACCCTGCATTTGGGCACCAATAATTAATTGTACATTAAGTATATTCATTGTAAAATCATCCTTTTTGTATGGTTTAGTGTTTTACCATGCTGCAAAAATTAGAAAGTGTTCCTTTGCATAAACAAAACTACCTTACTATAAGCGTAAATTCATTCATTTGGAAGTCAGTATTCAGTTAATAAAATAAATAACTTAATTACTTCAATACACAACTTATGGATCAACTATGCCCTCTCTCGACTCACAAAAATCTTTTAGAATGTCAGTTAAACCTTGGGTCATATTCAGAACAGAGATCAATATTGTTTAACTATTTTAAGGGTAGACAACCTACAGCACAGAAATTAGATGGCAATGTCTTGTCACACATTATGCAAACTGTCCTGGGAAAATTCTAGTAAGAAACCAAGAGTCCAGACCCTCCGCTCTCATTGTAAACCACCAATTCTAATTCTCTCATGTGGCGGTAGTGTTTTACCCCAATCAAGGGTGGTTGCTTAATAAAGAGGGAACACACACGAAAGGGGATGTAACAGACCCCTACTTTTGGTCACATGTCTTGAGAAGACCCTTTCTAAAATACGCTTAGTGTGCGTACGTTACCAGCACACACATTGCCCCTCACTGCCCAGCCTGGCAGTTCTGTTTTTCTACCATTGCCCATTGTTTCTCTGAAGCTTTATTCAAATGAAGAAAAATGTGACTTAAAAAGAGCGCACAAGCCTAACAGTTCAACAGAGTGATTCAAATTAGACATTAGTATGTCCTGACTTTTTAAAATATGGTTCTAGGTATTTTTTTTTTTTTCATTTTGTTTTAACCCAAGGAGAATAAGAAAATGGTATTTGACTTCTACCAGCAGGAGTTACAAGGAATGCAAAGGACCAAGAAGGCTATTCACCTTTTCTAAAGAACAACTAGCTAGTTGAATTTAAAAAAGAAAAACAAATATTTTGGTTTAGTAAAAAATGCACAACATCTCAACACTTTCTCTTTGCCTGCACACTTTACTAGATTCCAAGCACAATAAGTGGCACATTCTTAGAACTTTCTGGAGTTCAAGATACACTCTCCCTCTTAGGACTGGAGACCCATGTATTGAATTAACCCTAGCACATGAAACAATAATTCTAAGTGACTCTCAGACTCTGGAAGTTATAAAACTATTAAATTAAATTGTTTCATATGTTGATATGCCATGGGGCAATTTGATCATGTAGAAAGATTCTAAAGAAGAAGTTAAAAACTGGTTTTGGTCCCAGCTTTACCACAAATAGTTTGTATACCCTGGACAAGTCATGTAACCATCCTCAGCTTCCATTTCTTCACATTAAAAATATTATAAAATTAAGTTTTAAAGGGAGGAATTGAATTGGATAACATAATAAAGATTATGATGATAGCTAATGCTTAGATGCTTACTATGGGCCAGGCACTCTTCTAAATACTTTTCATCTATTAACTCATTAAACCTTAATAAGGACCCTATGAGGTAGGGATTATTTTTAGTTGAATTTTCTAGGTGAAGAAACAGAGAGGTGAAGTGATCTGCCTCAGATCACAAGCAGAACAGTAACAGGATTTGAACCCAGCCTGTCTGGTTTAGAGTGCATGTGCTTAATCCCAACACCACATTGTCTACTAATATCTAATGATAGCTAAGGCCCCAGCTAGCCATGAGATTCTGTGAATGTAGTCAAATCCAACTCCTCCTGATGATTCCTCACCACACCTTGCTTACTAATACAGCATTGAGCAAATTTGCTCTTCTAATCTACACCTAGAGCTCTCCATGCATTTGGTTTAAGAGCCTATCAACTCTATTTAAAAGTTTACATAATCCATTCAATGATGTTTGTTTCCAAATGTCCATAAATATGTGCTTCCATTGGTTTGAACTGGAAAATAACCTGTAATCAATGGGATTATCAATTTATAAAGCCTATTTGCATTATATATAGTTCCTATAAATTATTCTCCCAAAGGTCCTGTGTTAAAAAACAAACCAAAAAAATGCTACATAGTCCTTTAAGTTTACGTCATTGAAATAGTTAATGTTATGCAAATAATTAGTTAAAAAACTAAATAAATAAAAAATAAAATACAATAAAAAATTTCCTGTCTCCCATAGCCTGAGAAGGCATGGAAAAAGCAAGGATTCAATTATGAATGATTTGTAAGAGATGCTGAATAATACCATCATGTGATTTTATACGGTTGGTTTTAACTTTGAATTATTTAGAGAGATATTCTAAAGACTTTGATACTAATGACTCATTCTGCAAGAAAGAATTTACCCTTGCTCTGATCTTTGTGCCTCAACTAAATATGTATTGTGTGTTCACTGTGCACCATACTCTATACTTGGGATGCAAAAAGGAAGATAAAACATATGATGTAGTTTCTGCTTTTGAAGACTTCACAGGCTGGTGGGGGACAGGCGTGTAAACAATATTAGTGCAAGCAAATAATCTTGCTGCTTCATAATGTGATATTCCATGTAATGCAATGCCTTAAATTTTGTGCTCCTTCCTTAAAAAGCCAAAAATGAAATTCAACAAAATAAATATAAATACCTAAATTTAAAATGTGGCTTATGAAAGAGGTGTATTTGTGTGCATGTGTGTGTGTGTATGTGCATGTAGGCATGCACATTCATGGAACAGAGGAAGGTACTGAGCTTACATTACAGACAGTTTATTCTCTAACAGTGTGGTTTATAGATCCATTGAGTATATTTTATTCACTGTCTCCAAGGTGCCTAGGAAGTGTCTTCTACAAGTACACAGTACATGTACTTCTTAAATGATTGTGGAAATCAATGATAGCTATTGCCCTGGAGCATAAAATTTCATTAATTTTAGAGTCACAATATACTTTGATCAGAGACTGTTGTCTTGGCAAATGAATACTTCCCAAAGTACACGAAGGATGAGACTTTTTTTTATTTTAGAAAGGAAAGAATGTCAACTGATTTCAAAAGCATTTACCACTATCCCAAGTATACTTTTACCAAGTCTTTTCTCAGACATCATTAATGATTTTATATTATGTGAGGCTGAACAGGAAAAAGTCTTGGGATAGTTTAAAGATTGTTCACAACACATTCTCAAAGGAGAATTTTATTGCCCAGGTTAAAACGAAGGAGGAGGAGGAGGGGTGAAAACAAGAGTCAGGTTGCAATGATGGACAGAACAAGAGTTTTAGCCCTTGTACATGGGTGCAAAAGGAAAGTGGGTCAAAATGAATAAATGCCACACTACTTAGTACACTGACTTTGCCATTGAGGCCATTGTCATATAGTCAATTCTATGTGGCCTAATTAAGTAATAATCCTTAATCTTGGTTATCTGTTTTACAATTGTATCCCATCAGTCCCAAGAAAAACTAAGAGAGATTGCAGATAAATCAGTTTACTAATAGTAGACCAGCACTGTGATCGTTATATGGGAAGAGATGCATATCTAATTTCAATTCCAGTCAACAAATATTTACGTTTAAAACAAAAACAAAGCATCACATATAAACTACATCACTGGGCGTGGCCTTATTATGCCCTGTGCTGTGCTGTCTTCATCTCTCCTTTAATATGCCTCTCTTCTCCCCTGGACCGAGGGAGCCTCCAGAACAGAGGCTCTACTTAATAAGCTTTGTCCGCCTAACACCTGGCAGAACACCTGGAATATAGTTGAAGCTTCACAAA